GCTCTCCTGGCTCCTGGCCCGCGAGTCCCTGCTGCAGCCGCTGCTGGCCCAGACCCGCGTGCGGCTGGGCGACGAGGTGCCTGTCTGCGAGGTGGGTGTGGGTGAGGGTGCGCCCGTCCCACCCGTGGCCGGGGCCTTGGGCGCAGCCTGCCGGACCCGCGGGGACGGGCCTGGGCCAGCCCTCAGGACAGCCCTGTGGGTCAGGGTTGGCATCCTGGCCGCCCGGTGAGGACACGGAGGCTGCGCCTCCACCGCCCTCCGCGTCCTGGCGTCCTAAGCCGCCCCTCTCCCCAATTCTCCCCACCCCTCCTTTAGGGCAGGTGGTGTTTGCCCACAGGCTCTGGCCCTGACCCTTCCGCTGCACTCTCGGGACCCCACGGCTCTCACTCTCAGGGGCCCCCTTTCTTTCTCCCCATCTGGGCCTCTGCTGCCGGGTGGGAGCCCGGCCTGACCCTTGCCTCCCGTCCAGTGTGAGGCCCTGGCCAGCCCTGGCCGGCCTGCACCGCGGGTGGAAGCACAAGGCCCTGTGGACGTCCGCCACCTGCAGTGGCTCATGGGAAAGCTGCGGTTCCGGTGGCGAAACTTGATGGCCAGCCAGCAGGAGCAGTGCGCCCTCCTGGGCAAGGTAGTGTCGCCAGAGGACTGTCCACACGGGGGCAGTTACCCTCTGAACTCCAGGCTGTGGGCCGCCCCTCCCTGCCTGGGGCCTGTCCAGCGAAGCCCTGAATAGGCTGGGGCCTTGGCCTTTGGCTGGACGTGGGCCTCCCAGGCCTGGCTGGGGGCTGACTGGTTGGTCACTGCCCTGAGGTGGTGCAGAGCCTGAGACCAGGGCTCCAGGTGGTGCAAGAGGGGCCTAGGGCAAGTGGAGCTGGACATCGCTGGGGCAGGGAGCCAGTGGGCTTGACCTCCCTCCAGTGCAGGACTCCTTGGTGCTGGAACCCTGTCCAGCCTGTATCTCCACCACCAGCAGAGGGTTTTTGCTCAGCTGGCCTTCCCTGGGACCCCTCACTCCGTCTTGCCTGGGCCTCGGCTCCAGCTACTCCTGCCGCTTGGGACATGGCCACCTGTTAACCTGCATGCCACCTTCAGGCCTCCCCTGGCTGGGGAGCCCTCTCTGTCCTCCAGGCCCAGACAGGTCACTCTGTGTCCCCACTGGACCGCTGAGCCTGTCCACAGGCTGTTTCTCTCATCACACGGTCTTGGCACTTGGCGAGCTGAGGGGGGAAAGAAGCAGAGGTGCCCCTCTCTACCCCCACTGTATCTCTAGAGCTGGGTGGGATTAGGAGGCCATGGGGGGAACTGCCCAGTGCCCTCCCTCTGCAGAGGCCTTCTGGTAGGCTCTGAGCTGGTCCCCAGCAGGCCGAGGACTGTCCTGCCCTGGACTGGCTTGACCAGGTGTGCCCTCTCTGTGCCTGTTCCCTCATCTGTAAGGTGGCACTGCTCAGCCTGGCTCTGTGGTGCCCATTTCAGATCCACGAGTACACTCGCGGTTGCCACAGTGACCGTAGCCTTGGCCATCTGTCTGTTACCGAAACGGAGCTGCTCAGGGACCCAGAGGTTGGCCAGCAGGTGAGGGCTGGTTGGCAGCGGTGGGAGGGGTCTGGGGGAGGACCAGGGCTTTGAGCTGTTTCTGTCTGCCAAGCTTACCATCTTGTGGGTGTGGGGGACAGGCAGGTCCTCAGGTCTCTCCTGGCCCTGTAGACCACCCAGCGCTGCAGGAATGTGGACTGGCTGCTGTGTGTGTGCAGGTGGCTGGCAGGGGCGGGTCCGGAGGAGGGTGCTGGAATTAAGGAACACCACTGCAGCATCCCAGCTGAGGGTGTTGGCACCTCGAGCTCATGCAGGTGTTACCTGATGATGGGGATGCCTGCCCTGCGTATTCCACACTCTGACAGACTCAGGGCTGGCTGTCACTGGAGGGTCGGGCGGTGTGAGGCTGGCACTGCCTGGCCCCAGAGGTGCTTGGCCAGGTGGGGTTGCTGAGGCTGGTGTGGTCCCTGCTTCCTGGCCCAGCGGGTCCCAGCTCCTGAGCCGTCTGCTCACAGGGGGTCTGCCTTCCTTTGTAGGGTCAGGGTGCCCAGGTAGGGATGCCTACCTGGCCCTTGGTGCCTGCTGAGCCTGCATCCCTGGCAGACGCTTCTCTGGGGCCCACCTGGGAAGGGCTGTGTTGGGCCCTGGAGGTGCTGAGGCAGCATCTGGGCATCCTGAGGTGCCCTTGGCTCTTTTCCCTTTTAAGGGTGACTCAGGTCCTGGCTTGCCCCTGGTCCCCAGGTTGGAGCAGAGCAGGGGCTGCATCCATTGGTGCCTCAGGACTCAGGCAGAGTGGCCAGGTGGACAGGCCATGGTTGGCCTCCTTTCAGTGTTTCTGGATGGGGAGCTGGTGGGAGCCTGGACCTCCTGTCTTCGGGGCTGCACTCCTGGGATGGGTTCCAGAGGCTTCTGGAGTGATCCGTGGTTGCTTTGTGAACAGCCAGGCATGCTGCAGAGGGACTGGGCAGTGTCCTTGGTTGCTGGCTGAGCTGCAGCCTTTTCCTCACGCCTCTGGGTCCGCCCTGCCCCAGCCCTAGGGGCGAAGGGGGCTTGTTGCCTTCCCCCTCCTTAATGCTGCCCCTTTCTCATGCCTGTGGGACTGTTCTTGGAAAAGGCATTAACTGCTTTTCTCATTGACCAGTGGCATGTGTGTGTGTGTGTGTGTGTGTGTGTGTACATGTACAGGTACTTTTACGTGTACCTGCAGTGTGAGCGTGTACCTGTGGTGTGAATGTGTGGGCCACGCACTCTGCCTCTCCCCCCCCCCCC